ATAATACAGTTAAGCCTGGAAGTCCTCACCATGCTGTGGTTCATTGGAGCTATTTTACATTTGTATCAGTTTAACTGCTAATTAAGCAAATCTGTTGTTTGTGTCCCCATTCATCTTTAGGAGATAAATACTGGGTTTTTAAAGAAGTGACAGCAGAGCCAGGCTACCCACACAGTCTGGTGGAGCTGGGGAATTGTCTGCCCCGGGAAGGCATCGACACAGCTCTGCGCTGGGAGCCAGTAGGCAAAACCTACTTCTTCAAAGGTGACAGGTACTGGAGGTACAACGAGGACAAGAGAGCAACGGACCCAGGATACCCAAAGCCCATCACCGTGTGGAGAGGAATCCCTCAGGCTCCACAGGGCGCATTTATCAGCAAGGAAGGCTGTAGGTATCTGCAGGTGTCACGCCTGTTAGAGTGGTAATAGCTTGTCTACCTTGGGAGTTGGGTTGTTGGATGGGGGTGGGGGGGTGTTCTGAGTATCTCCTGAGATAGGAATCAACTCTCTGAAGCGGCACCTGTGAGCACTGGCAGCCTGAGATCCTTCCTGACCCTCATCTCAACCCATGTACCCCCTCAACTGCTGAACCACGTTACTGCAATGCCAGCTCTGGGGGATGGGAAGGGACCACCTGCTTTTGCTGTACAACAGGCCCTACCCAAGTTTCCCAGGGCCCTGATTGTGAGGATGCCAAAACTCACATTTTCCTCAGTTTCTTCCCTGTAGCTCAGTCACTCTGTTACAGCTCCAACCTGCCTGGTGTACTTCAGAGATACCCATGCTCTCAGTAGGGGGTTGGACCTCCACAGGCTCCTTCCAACACTTCCCTTTCTCTGATTTGAAGATTTCTTTCTCTTCTTCCAGCTGGGGAAAGAACTAACAGAAGGAGCTTGTGTTGTTGAGGCCATGTTTAAATTTGGGGCTGTGGTGTGAGACAAGGGCTTTAAGGCTGGGCTAGGCTGGAGGAGCAGTGAGAACCAGCCAAGCAGTCCTGGAGCCCAAACGCTTTCACCATTGTCCCCCTTTTTTCTTTTTTTTTCTCATCACTTGAGAGTGGTCTGGGGAGAGGAGGGGTGCTTCAGACATGTAGCAGAAAACATCAGCTTTTTACTAGCAGCATGACAAGACTGTTCCTTAACAAAGGCCAAATCTGGATTCTGTGCCTGAAAGGACTCATTCAGCATCAGCTCCCTCAGGCTGGGTGAACAGAAACCTCAAGTATTCTTCCAAACACTATTGCACTCAGGCACACACTGTCATTCTGCTGATTATGTTAATTGCTTGGTAATGACAAGCACATATTTACAGATGCTTTAGTGAAATATAACTCATTGCAGAACACTTTAAAGTTAGTTGGGTTTTTTTTATTCACAGCTTGTCTTGGCCAAGGGAATGGTGCTCTGTGGGCAACACTGCAACCGCAAGCTGGGGTTATGGCTTCTCCTTTGAATCCTGGCTCCAAAACCACCTTCACTGCTCAGTGGTTTTGGGATGCCCTGGATGAGTGTGTTTTATTGGCCCAGGCAGCTGCCACCTCCAGCCTTTCAGGCTCTCTGCACGTCCTCACATAAGCACAGCTTATCAAGTTGGAAGTGGTGTGGTGAGAAATATTCTCTGTTTTGTCTCCTAGTTTATACCTACTTTTACAAAGGGAAGGAGTATTGGAAGTTCGACAACCAGAGGCTGAGTGTGGAGCCAGGCTACCCCAGGTCAATCCTCAAAGACTGGATGGGCTGTAACCAGAAGGATGTTGAACGAAGCAAAGACAGACGCCTCCCCCACGACGATGTGGATATTATGGTGACAATAAACGATGTGCCTAGCACTGTAAATGCAATCGCAGTTGTGATCCCTTGCATTTTGTCTCTGTGTATCCTTGTCTTGGTATACACGATCTTCCAGTTTAAAAACAAAGAGGTGCAGCAAAATGTTGTGTATTACAAAAGACCTGTCCAGGAATGGGTATGACACAGCCCGCTGCACATCTCAACTCATTGATCTGATGAGGACTATGGACAAAAAAAAAAAAAAAAGAAAAAAAAGAAAAGCATTCAAAAGCCTACCAAACAAAACTACTTCAGTGACCTACAAGTTTTGGACAGCCTGGGACTGAAAGAAGCAGGAAAACTGGAAAAAAATACAGACAGCCTTGCAGTGTGGAGCCTCTTTTCTTCTTACTGCCTCAGTCGCGTGTCAGTCTTGGTGTGCCATCCTCCGCAGGCTCACTCTGCTAACATCAGTCTTCAAGACAGGTTTCAACTGACCTGGGAAACTTCCTTCAGTTCCCTGCACCAGTGCTCCCTGTTAAACCCAGCATTCTCCAGTGTAGCTAAACCACCTCTGAACAGAACCATTTTTTTAATAGCTGTCTCATAAATGAATTAAGATCATAAAATCTATGAACAGGAACAATTCAGTATCATAAGCAGAAGACATTCTGATGCTGAACCATTCTAAAAGATCTTCTTAGTTTATTACAAAGTCCAGGGAATTACCTGGATACAATTTTCCAATACCTGCTGGTCAGATGTTTTGTACATTCATAACTAATCAACGCTGCCACTCAGCACAGTGCATGAGGAACCACTAAGCACTCAGAGAGGTAAATGAGTGCAGAGCAGAAGCTCAAGAAGCACCAAACCAGACACCATAATGTCACCTGGCAACATCAAGCCCTAGATTGGGACAATCTGAAGACAAAGTAATTGGGTCTAAAAAAAGCAATCATGGGAATACATGTTTTTGTTTTGGGAGCCATTCATGAAAGAAATATTTAAATGTCATAGAATGTTGCTTTAAGCTCCCATCAGCACAAAACGTGAACCAACGGTTACAGATATACTGAAAAATATGTATAGATGTAGACTGCACTCTGCCCCTGTTAAGATGCTGGGAAAAGATGAATTGTTGTTATGTGGCATGTGTAACTAGATTGTGGAATTTGTATGTTGGGTTTCAGGAGAATGGAAATGTTTGTTGGAGTGAGATAATCATTATACTTTGCTGAAATAGTCAAGATGCAGTAAGAATTAGGCCTGTTTATAAAACTAAATCCAATCCCCGTAGATGTTACAAACATTGTATGCCTTCAAAGTTTGTTCTTTGTTTTTGCTCACTTCTTCACAGGCAAATATTTGGCAAGGACCAAAGGAAGCATGCCACACATTAGAATGAGTTCATCACTAGCCACATTTGACAGACATAAAAATCAGGTAAAGGCTAGGTCAGTATCTGAGCTTTCGGCTAGTAACTTTTCACAAGTCTCTTCCTACAAGAGTAGCTTCTGCTTATCCCTCTTACAGCTGTGAATGGTTTAGGATGTTGTGTCCTAACCACAAACTTAGTCCATTTTGTTGTTGATGCTGGTATTTCTACCACATAGAAGAGTGAAAGAAGAGTTTCTTGCAGTGCAATGTAATGAAGTCCGGCCCTGTACAGAAGTGCCATTCACGCAAGTGTATGAACTGCTTTGCACACTCCCTAAGGAACAGGCGATCGGCGTAAGCCTCTGCCTATAACTGAATTTTATTCAGTGCAATGGAAGCGCAGTGCACAGAATGTCCAGTTAGTACAGAAAAAGTACAGCTCTGTAACATCAGCTGTGAAGAAAAATCCAAGGATGAGAAACACTCTAAAAATATTCCAAATTACAGTGATGAGAAATGAAGAAGCAGAAAGCTTGTCAGCATTCTGAATTTCTAACTAGTGCTCAAATATTGCTACGGTGAAGCAGGATAGACAAATAGATACTTCTAGTGAAGCCCACTAGGACTGCATAACACATGGTCTCCAACTGTATTTTGTCCTTCATAATTGATTTCCATAGCCAAGTTGTTTATTGTGTTTAAACATTAAAAAAATATTACAAACATATAACAAAGTAAGTGAGAAGCTAGTAGATGCAAAACAATCTTAGTGAAAAAATGTGATAATGTCTCATGATGGGTGAAGGAGTGCAAAGGACCAAATGAAATCGGAGCTACTAATTAGACACCCCCCACACAATGCTACTCCGTACGTTGCTATGTGTACTCTGTATGTGGTAGAATGCACACTATGGATGCCACAGCCACATGGCACATCGAACTCATCTGTACGCTGCCATCTCCTCTGGGACTGCGACAGCCCAAACCTTTGAGCAACTTCCAACAGCCATCATTAAAAAAAAAAAAAAAAAAATTTACAACCTACAGAAATGTCTGGTTTTGTTTGTATTGATCTCCTCCTGCCCAAAGGTAGATTTTTTTTGTGGTCTGTTCAAAAATCTTGCAGCACAAGCTGTCCTGGGTCTGTACCAGCTGAGCCACTTCCTCAGCCAGCTGCGCGTGGCCTCGCGGAGCCAGGCACCCCAACAGCAGTAAGCAAGCTGCCTGCCCTGTGCTCCCAAAGTTCACCTTCCTCAAAGAACTGCTCCTTCAAAGAACCAGACAAATCATTTCGTGCCTTTTCTGCTACCTAACTGGCTCCTGGCGCAGATGCTATTTGAGCTTGCCTGGATGAGGTTTTGTGTAGGGGTTTAAGGGACTGAGAAACAGCCCTCTACAGTTACAAGTGCTGGCGGGGCTGGGGCAGGGAGGTGAGCAGCTGACCCACTCTCCCCAGTACAATCCCATTCATGCTGCTGTCATCTCTCTCGTCAAGATTAGCACCTCTGCAGTCCCGGGGTGACCTGGATTTGGGCACAGTATTCATGTAAGGGATAGCTCCTTTCATACTCCCACACCTCAGCTCTTTGCTGGGATCCTGTATTATGCCACAGAAACACTCAGCAGCGCATCGACCCCCCCTGCCTCCCATCACATGTTGCCAGCGCAGGGGAGCAGGGAACAGCCGTGAGCTCGAGGCTCTCCCAGGCGTGCTCCTGGCACGGGACGGTTCAGCTAGAGGAGAGGCCTGGCCCATCTCTACCCCCAGTGCAGCAGCTGCAGTCCCTGTGGCAAGCAGCCCACTACATACACCACACTGCACCCACCATTCTACTTTTTTTTTTTTTTTTTCCCTCCAGTTTTTGACTCCTTTGGGTAATTTCACCAACAGTAAGGTAATTCTTCCAGGTAAGTCAGGAATGTGCTGGGATACATCGTCACTATAGTCAGAGGTGGTCCTCCACTGTAAAAGTGATTAGCTGTTCCCAAAATAATCAGTTATTAAACCTCAACGGCATCTCCCATCTCACACCATGAGGACTCAGGTTTTTTATAAACATCTGTGAAGGATCCTGGAAAAAATGTTTCTGGATGTTAAATCATACTAGCAGCCAAAGCTGCACACCCTACAATTTCTTCACTGAACCTTGAGTTGCAAGACATTATTCCCTCCCTCAAAAACCTCTGGACAACTCTTCTCCATCCTGTGACATACATCCCAAGGCTTGATTCAACCTTTCTCATAGTATCAGACTTGTCCAAGATGGAATCACCTCAGATCATTCCTGCAGCCCTTCCTAATATCTGAAATCATGTGTTGCCTTCCACCACCCAATAGCAAAGGTGGTACATAGCCATGGTATGCAACCCACAGCTTCCTAGTTCAGCAATTAAAGAATCCTGAGATCTCATGCAGCAATACCCAGCACTGGGAACACAGAACTTGATTTACTGACTACTCCTTAACACCTTTTGGCATCATCACTGGAGAACGCCACCCTTGAGATAAAATACATAAAAAGGGTCAGTGAAGTGTTGCACAGTGCTTTAAGTGCCTCAAGCTGTGCAATGGCCAAGGGCCTGCCACTTGTAATTCTGCCTTTCTGTAACCCTTCACCACTGCTGTTTCTCCCTTACTGTTTCACTGCTGTTCTCAGCCTCATCGTCATGGCCCTGCACTAGCAAGCTCTGACACTGCTAGACAGGCTCTCATGGGAAATAATCAGCATGAGAATCTCACTCCTCCTTTATCCTGGCTTCTTTTGGAGTTTGTAGTTTACAGAAGAACCAAATTTAATGAACAGAGTAGATAAGCATTACAACAAAAAATATTTGCATAAAATCTTGGCAACCACTGTGCAACACTTGTATCTAATCTACACACAATACTCACGATAAAGATGCATGACAGATTTACAGATAATGATGCTTTCAGCTTGCTTTTCCTAATTAACTCCAAACATTCCGTTTATTTTTTGACTGTTACTGAAGACTGAGCATGTCCTCGTTCAAATACATACCTTCAGGGCAAGCATTTGCTCTGCACTGCTCAGTTTGTCACTACAGGTGTGAAATCTGGATTCTTAACCACAACATATTTCACTTCATGTTCAGCTTACTGAACTTACCTTTCGATCAAGCCATCGGCCAGTCCTCGTCCTTACAAGTCTTGAGTCAGTCAGCACAGGCAAACTTCCCTGCACCAATGCACTGCCTCTCCTAAACAGGACACAGTAACGCTGAACACTGTGGCTCCCAATGGAGCTGCCTGTGAAACTCCTGGAAAATCTAAACATTTACTTTTTCCCCCATCCTCAAGCATGTGAAAGGGCTTCCCTCTCATCCCATGGGATCACTCGCCCAGGGTGCTCAAAAGCCTTTGGCACAAAAACCTGCCAAATGCCTGTCAGAAATACAAATAACAGACCTTCTCCACAGCCCTATGTACTCCTTTAAAACTCCACAGGTCTTGCAAGACATGACTTGCCATGAAAACACCAAGTTTCTACACTCTCATGACATCATGTATCCATGTTTCTACTAATTCCATTCTTTATTAGTTTCTGTTGTCCTTGTACTGAGGTCCATCTCACTAGGTCAGACCTCCCCAAACCCTGGTTTAGCACAGGTATCATGTTTACAACCATCCAGTTCCGAAACCTCAACACAACTTTTGTAACAGGTCACACACCACAGTTAGCAACACCCCATTCTGCTGTCTGTCTTCAGTCCTCTTTGGCATATCACAACCCCCAACAGCACAGCAGTATCTTTTCTATTTAAGGATCTGGATTACAGAGACTGCATTATTTTTCTTGTTTACCTCAAGTAATTTTTAACATGTAACACATATCGAGGTCACCAATATAAACCAGGATTCCTGTCTATCAATCAGAATGGAATGAGTTACAGAAGTTGCAGAGGAGAACTTCAGCGTTACTCATTTCACACTTGATGAATACACGCTAACACCAACAGCAATAGTCAGACCTTTTGCCATTTACACCCAAGAACAGAGCTCTGTGTGATGGCCAAAGGAAAGCAGCTTCTCACTCTAAGCTATGAGGAGACCTGGAGTCAGTTCCAGGCCAAGTAGTCCACAATAGCAAAAGGGCCATGAACACTAAAATTTGTTAGCTGTAGTATGAAGGAGCTGTGAGCTGCTCACAGGCTTCCCCAGCAGCAGCAGGAGGAGGAGCTGTGTGGAAATGGCAGCCCCTGGCTCAGCCACCATTTCAGACAGACCAGATGAGAGGGCTGCTATGATCAGAGAAGATCCTATGGCAATCTTCATCTATAAGGTTAAGGAGCAACTTTTAATCAAACCAAACTTATAAAACTTCCCTAAACATCCAGACAGTGAAATAAAAATGGAAGTTTACTTGATTTTTTACAAAGCCTGAAGCACCAGGATCAAAAAAGAGCCCTGCGTACCCTGCCTTCAAGACATCACTCCTCAAGAGAGCCCAGCTGACAGCAATGCAGCTGGGTGGAAGCAACGAGGAGCTTCCACATACCCTTACGATGGGAAGTGGAGGCATTTCTATGCCTTCAGTACACCTTTAGTGGGCAAGCAGAAGAGCAACTGAAATGAGAGATCAGTGAGCAACAGCTCTGTTTAGAAGCAAATTACTATCTTCTACCTGAAAGCAGTATCTACAGCTCCTTTTTGTCATCATCACTGCCTGGCAAAGGCACAGCTCTTAATTAGCAAGTTCTCAAATCTCTAACATCTGACTGGAGTAAACTAGTTCGAACCATGTTACTTAACTGTTGTCTCCAAGATAACTCAAGACTAGGTGGGTTAAATGTTTTTTGATTTGCTGACTTCTCAGAGTTTCCAGCATAGGTGAATAACTTCTGTAGAACAAATTTAAGCCCACTGGCAATAGCATGCTTTTCTAAGCTCTCTCTTGCAGATGCCTCAGAAGCAGCACAAATACCACTGTTCCAGAGGCAGTCACACATTGTTGCTGTCAGAAGCCCCTGGACTTGACTTTGGGAAAACTCCAGTTTTACTCAGAGATGATCACGTCAGAATCACGGGCCCTGTGGGAATAGCTGCAAGTCAGGGCAAGACAGCAGGTGATGACTTCTGAATTATTTTGTGGTAACTACTATATTTTTGGTATTGGACATACAAGGGGCTCTCAAGTCTACCTACAGCAGAAACAACACTCTTCAGCAAGAGTGTGGAAAGGGCAGTGCCATGTACATGCTGAACCAGACTGCTGTGCAGCAGAACACTAATCCATTATTTAAGGCAAAATAATATCTAGTGATTAACATCCAAGAGCCACAAGAGTAAATATTATGAGCTAATTTGAGGGGCTCAGTCACCATCACAAAATGAGAAAGCACAGCTGAGGAACCAGAAAATGTCAGCAAAGGGATAGAGAGCATTCCGTATTTGTAACTTAGGTATGTTATTTGTCAGTTTTTGTAATAGTACTTAAGTTTACAAAACACTACAGAACGTTGGTTTTGTAGCATCTTCTTTGGGGTAGAGCTGCAGAAACAACATCAGAAGGTCCAGATGTCTGTAATCCAAAGTGCAGCTTGACACTTCACTCCTTAGGAACTTTCTGGAAAGTAGGAACCAACACTGCTCATGTCAAGCTAAAAAGACAAAACAGAAAGGAGATTTAGCAGATGAGTGCCAGAGAGTGCAGAAGGTATTTCAAAACACCAGTACTGTCAGTTCTCAACCTCCAATTACAAAGGCCCAGTAGAAGTTTCCCTTCCTAGAACATACAGGTCTATGAAAAGAGGGAAGTGGACCTAACAGCTGCCAACAGCCAGCCGTGAGAACACACCTGTCAAGCTGGCAAAGGCAAGATGTACACTCAGCCTGGCCTGGGTGGTTATCAAAAGCTCAGAGCAAATTTAATTATGGCTCGGTTATGCTCAGAGGCATCAAGCCTATATAGGAACTGTAAAAGGGAAGCAAAGAACTCTCTCAAAGGGTTCTTCATTCCAGAAATTGCTTCTCCCATGCCATAAACCATTCCCATATGAATAACTGAGAACTCAGCCACTAAGTTACAATGGCCTAGGTAGCTCAACACACCTCTAGCACTGCAGCAACGATCCTAAGAGTTGTAGTGAGATGAAAGCTCAAATGAAGTTCACATAGAAGATTCCCTACATGTATGCCTAAACCTTGTGAAAAAATGTGCATAGATTAATGAATGGGGAAGGTCCTATATCACTGCCACTCCAGGCAGAGAACAAGAAAAGCTGCCTCCCATTAAAAACTTGGACAAAGCTTTTGACATAAAGGCTTAAAATAAAAAAAAAAAAAAAGGCAGC